TTTGAATGTTTTCTGCAGTTAATGCATTGAGAGCCATCAAGAAAAGTTTGATTGATCCATATCATAATCTTGGAAGCTGGAATAGGGGGGATCCATGTACTTCAAGATGGGCTGGAATTTCTTGCTACAATACTACACTAGATGATGATTATTTTCATGTCAGAGAAATGTATGATTTTAGTTTCTTTTCATGTTCTATCTTACAGTTAATTGGATATAAAATTGGTTAACCCGCAAATTCTCCTGGCAGGTCATTACTGCAAATGAATCTGTCTGGTCGTTTATCTCCGGAACTTGTCCATTTATCTTATATGAAGATAATGTGAGTTAGATGAATTACATTCTACACTTTTCCAATAGTGTTTATGTTTTTTCAAATAATTATATTCTACAGAACGGTAGCTTTCCTTTGCTTTTCACTAACTATTTTTGTTACTTACTTTAATAGGGATTTTATGTGGAACAACATTAGCGGGACAATACCAAAGGAGATAGGCAACATTACATCATTAGAATTGTTGTAAGTTGAAAAGGCTTTTTGCACATTTTCCCTCCCCACATGTTCTACTTTGTATAATGTTTGACCAGTGCTTATGGTAATAATTGCTTGTAAATCCATGCTTGAAAGTGCATCAGATTAAATGCTAAATTTTGTCAAGAATCTGAATCATTTGAGAAAATATACTCTCTTTTGGTATTGACACGTTGTTTAGAGTATGAGAATGTTTGTCTATGCTTAATTTTATTTATTTTATTTTTTTAACTGAAGTAAAATAGTAAGTTTTAAAATAAATAAATTTTTTGATTGATCAAAATTATGAATAAGTCCTTTATTTTGACACTAAGTTTCAAAAGAATTGTCTTTTTAAACTTAAAAGTAAGAAAAAATTTAAATTATCTAAATATGTCTGGAGATATAAATTTACTTAAAAAAGGAGCACCATATTTTGCATTCCTCACCCTTGGTTTTCTTTCTCTGGTTTCAGGCTTCTCAATGGAAATAAACTTACAGGTTCCTTGCCTGATGAGATTGGCTATCTTCGTAACTTGGACAGATTGCAGATTGATGAGAACAAAATATCTGGTTCAATACCAAAGTCATTGGCTAACTTGAACAATGCAAAGCACTTGTAAATATTTCTCTTGATATCTGGACTAACATCATTTTGCTTTTCAGTTTTTTCATTTTTCATTTTTATTATTATTTTTTTTGTGAGCAGCCACATGAATAATAATTCCCTTAGTGGACAAATACCGCCAGAGCTCTCTAAATTGCCAAATCTTGTTCATTTGTGAGTTGGAAACATGATTCTCTTATCAAATAATACTCATCTTATCATCTTATTTAGTTAAAGTGTTAACACACCGCAGGTTGCTTGATAACAACAACTTATCAGGACGTCTTCCACCAGAACTTTCCAAAATGCCAAATTTAATGATACTGTATGTTATCTTGCTTCCATAAGACACATTCACATTTTTTCTGTTCCTTCATATTGTGTTTTCATTTATTTTATTAATTGTTATATGAAGGAAGAGTGTCAATATTCCTTTCTTTTGGGGATTTACTGGACAAATCTCTGAGCATTCAAACTTGACTGCTTCTTTCTCCTTTCTTATTTCAGTCAACTTGATAACAACAACTTTGAGGGGAGTACAATACCTCTTTCTTATGGAAACATATCTTGCTTATTGAAGCTGTAAGTATATACAATTTTCATTTGTGCTCCAAAACAGATTTATAGTTGTAGATAATCTGGTAGTTCACCATCACCATTCAAGTTATATGTAACAGAAGGTCCAGAAAAAATGTTGTGAAACTTTACACTTTTTTCATAAAATGTCAATATCTGCTATTGGAAGCCCCATACTATTTATGGAGGCAGACAAATTTCTGGGGATGAGGCACATATTTAGAATTTATTCAGGTTAAGATTTATTACAGTTAGCTTTTGTTGGCTGTGTCAGGAGTCTTAGGAACTGCAGTTTGCAAGGGCCAATTCCTGACTGGAGCAACATGCCCAATATTGCTTTTATGTAAGTCTGTATGCATTAATGCGTGTCTTTGGCATGCTGGACTTAAGATTTTCTAATATTGTCCAATCTATAGTCCACCCTACCAAGCAAGCTCACATTTTATAAATTCAGTTACTATGTTGGACACGACCTCATAAGTTTGTGTTCAATAACCTTTGAGATAGTATGGTCTTTTAACTGGTTCCTCTTCAATTATCCTTCGCAATTCAGAGATTTGAGCCTAAACAAGCTTAGTGGAACAATACCAGCAGGTGTGCTTTCTGAGAATATGACAACTATGTAAGTCCTCAATTTCTGATTGTTCTGGTTCTTTAATTGAATTACTTTGGTTTGCCTTGAAAAAGCATGACTCATTACTGGAACTAATACTTAGTTACAAATATGCAGCGACCTATCATCCAACAATCTTAATGGAACTATTCCTGCAAGCTTTTCAAGGCTTCCTCTATTGCAGAAATTGTGAGCATTCTTTGACTTATTAATCAATTTAGTGTTCTGGAAATGATTGAATCTAAATTTAAAGGTTGCTGATTAGTTTTCATTCACATGTTCAGTTAGTGCCCAAGGTATAGTTATCTCGATCCTTCTCAGTAAAGAACTGATAATATCCATATCCACATCATTTCTCCTGCAGGTCACTAGCAAACAATTCATTAAGTGGTTCAGTTCCATCCACCATTTGGCGGAATAGAATTCTCAATCAATCAGAGACACTCATCTTGTAAGACCTGAAAAGGGAAAGAATTATTTGTATGCTATTATTGATCTCGTTCATTGCCCCACCCCCACCAAGGGGCAATGGAGTATAACTATCACCGATTAGGCAGAAATTGATGTTGAATTCGGGTTTCATTACTTCCATCATGCTGAAAATAATGGTTTAATAAGACAAGATGATAAAATGTTGTTATTTTTAGGAAAATGCTGTGTATACAGTGCTATATACGTACAGCACTCTTACAATCGTGGGGCCTGCGATTATTTTAATCGTGGGCCACACCTCTTGTATCTGAAAGGACCTTCAACCATGATGTCAAAATTGATGTAGTTGTAGCAAGATTCCTATTTTTATCTTATGCCATTATGCTTTCTGATGTTGCAGGGATTTTCAGAACAATAGGCTTTCAATTATTTCTGGCAGCCTTATCCTACCGTCGAACGTCACTGTTAGGTTTGTCCAACTGTTACTTTGAGCTGTGATGACTTTTTCCCTCTTGAATTGGACTTTTTCCCCAGATAAAAATGGAAGTTCTAATTTTATCCAAGTGTTAAACCATATGATATTGAAGTATATTTTTTCACCCCTTTCATAAATATAAACACTTTCAGCCTTCGAGGAAACCCCATATGCACCAGGGGTAACCTTATTCAGTTCTGTGGATCTTATGAGGAAGATTTCAATGAGATGTTCAACCTAACAAGATCCAATGCCTGCCCTCCTGAATCATGTCCACCTCCTTATGAGTATGCCCCAGCATCTCCTGTTGCTCGCTGCTTTTGTGCTGCTCCTCTGCTTGTTGGATATCGTTTAAAGAGTCCCGGGTTCACAAAATTTCGCCCTTATTTTGATAAATTTGAGCATTACGTAAGTTCTGCTCTTGATTTGAATATTTATCAGTTTCACATTGATTCGGTTGCATGGGAAAAGGGACCTCGACTGAGAATGTACCTGAAGATTTTTCCGGCATATGTAAACAACAGCATTCATCTGTTTAATGGGAGTGAGATCCTCCGAATTCATGGCTTGTTTAGTGGATGGAGGATTCATGGTAACGCTGTCTTTGGACCTTTTGAGCTGCTAAATTTCACGCTTTTGGAGCCTTATAAAGATGGTTCGTCTCTTTTATCTTCTGACATATTCTGCTATAGATTTATTTGAAGATAAAACGATCATATAGATCATGTTATCTAGCTTTCTGCCTTTTATCTTCTGAGAGAAAGGATTATTATCTTCCTTAAATTTTATTTCTTAATTATATCAGCGTCTAATGGGAGCTTCTAAATAAACAATATATGTAACTGTATGCTTAAAAATGTGCCTGGAGGATTTTAATGTCGATCTCTTGATACAGAAATTTTTTTCCTCAGTCCTGTCAATTAAGCAACTATAAGAGGAAAATGGAGTGAGGTTATATTGAAAATGAATAACTGTTTTATATTATGGAAGTTGGCGGCATTCAGATTCTACTTGCACAAAATGGTGAAAATCAGCTCTGGGGCAGTGTCATTTAAACAGAACAATGGATGGATTTTTCCAACATGAAGTCATCAAGCAATAAGCTGGATACTTTCTTAGAACTCTTACTGTTACATTTGATTTGTTGAGCTCCTACTATGCTGCGAGGATAAATTTTTTTGTGCCTTTTTATGGCTGTTTAATTTGTACATACGTGGAAAAATAGTATGCATTCATTAGCTCCCAAATTTTGAGGTATTGCTGCTTTTATAGATCCCTGAAATTTCTCTCTTATTGTTGCGTAATCTCTGTGGATATATGCTGCTTTCACATATTTTTCAGGAGATGTTCTAACTTCCTAATTTTTGCAGAATTTCCCTCTTCTTCACCATTTGGTATAA